TAATTTAAATATATGAAGAAATACATACATCGTTTATATGACAAACTAATGGATTTCGGAGGCATATTTCATTTGAAAGAATAACATTTGTTGTAAAATAAGAAAAGTAAGTTTAAGGCTATTTAAGTATCTAACAAATTAAACAGCTAGACTTAAGGAATACCTATGAGATAAAAACAAACATGAATAAAGCTAAACAATTTGGAATTAAAGTAATTTTGTTTAGTATATTATATGCAAGGATAATAAAATTTATTTTATTAATTATTTGCAACGAATAGTTAACAAATAAGAAAATTCTGCTCATATAATTATGATTTATTATTATTATCGATGTGATATGAAATGATCCAATGATTCATATTTTTAGCAATAGATTTTTTTAATGCATAAACACTGAGCATTTTTCTTATTCCTGTTAATATTTGATTAAAAATTATCGAAGGCCAACTTTGGATGGCACGAAATGTCATATTATCCGACAGTTAAGTACCTTGGAGAAAGCTAAACGAGTAACATCCATAAATAATTACCAGGATATTGTTACAGCTATCGCTAAAGTTTATAATTATTATTGTTTTTTGTTTTTCCAGAATTGTATTTGATAAATTTAGCACAATATGTAAAAGGCTAGAAATAATCATTGACCAAATTATTTTGAGCCAAAGGTGAATCATTTCGAAATCGAAAGAACGAATAGAAAATGAGTAACTTCTTTAATATGATAATCAATAAAGATTCCATTCTTTCCATTTCAAAGAAGAAAAATATCGAATTCATTACGATTAATTAAGCAATTATAGATTTTACGCAGCATATAATTGCATAAAGTGAAATCTTGTATATATTTCAGGATATTCATAAAGAAGATAATTATTGGAAGTTCAATTGATGACAATACGCAAGTTAGTATTTCATTTTAAGAAAATTCGATTAGATTACCAAAAACGTTTGGAACGATATGCGGATTACTTGAGAAGAACCAATGATTAAATCAAAATGATTAATGAGTTTTCTTTTTCAAATTCTACTTTTCCTATTGGGATTATGAATTTTTCCAAAATTTCTTTTTTCTTTTTATTGTGAAAAGCTTTTGTACAAAGGCTTTATATACGTAGCACCTTATCTTTGAATTTGAAGTTTTGTTTTGGCAAAATTTGGATAAAAATATATTTCAAAACATTTCAATTTTCAAAACAGCAAAAGAAAATAGGGAAGTGATCATTAATACACAATAAATTTTACTTTCTTATCTCCGAATTATTTAGTTATTCAAGCCATAATTATGAATTCGTATACTATAATTAATCCAATCTTTTCAATGATTTGAAAAAATATAAGATAAATAGAAATAGAGAGGAAAATAAATCAAGCAAATGTGTTGCCTTCCCATTTCTGGAAAGTCAAGTTTAATATTCCACGGAAACAAAGTACCAATGAGTATTAGAAACAAGAGTATACAGTTGGTTAAAAATAATATTTAGTATTTGACAAATATTACCAGAAAATTTAGAATGTTTTAAACTAACTTATGGTTTCCCGACAGGAAAAGGATTTCACATGCGGAATACTTACAAGTACCTAACTTCACGAAAAGCCTAGTAATCCAGTGCCGAAATTGAAGTATCCACAGCAATGAACCCCATCCAGTCCGCTGCCACAATTAGGACATTCTGCTAGTATGTTTTTCGAGTTTCGCGAATTTCAGAATTCCTTACGGCATATACACCAAGACATTTGCATTTTAAATTTCGTAAGCTTCTAAAATTCGTTTTCATTTCTTCGTGCGTTTTTATCGTAGCAGCTGTTTCATAAACATATCTGTCAATTTGTTCTGAAATTAAATGCAGTTGTAACACTGAAGAATTGCCATTTAAAAGGAATACAGCTTTATATGTTGACATACAAAAAATTCACGATGTCAGTAAATAAGGATCATTTATACAAAACCGAACTAATTCAATATTGAAGCAAGAATACAAGATTATGTTTAGCAAATGACGAAAAAGACTGACAAAACGTACGTACGTGGCACCACTTCTATCACTAAAAGTTTAATAGAAATCGGTGTATGCCTAAAATTTGTACATAAAAAGATGAAGCAAACTTGAGAAATTTCTTTTTACCCATATCTTCACTTTCCCATGAAAAAAGTGATAATTGATTCTTACACTGCTGTATTTAAATTTGAATCTTGTATAATCAATACTTCTTTTACTTGTTCCACTCTTCTATCAGTAGGCATAAATCGGAGTGACAAAAGTTATTTTCCCACTTCCATAGGAAAAAACACTTCTCTCATTCCTCTTTTCAAGACCGCTCAACCTCACGACGCAATGACACCACTGAGATGAGATGATCATAATGGCCATATCAAATATAATCAGACCACTGAAGGACAAAAAGACAATACGAGTACTGCAATTTCTCAGATACATCCCGTATTTTTTGCAAAGTGGAAATTTCCATAGATTTTACAATTCACCAAATCCATCCCTGTAGTGAAATCAAGACAAATTTCCTTCCCTCCCTTTTCAGAAAAAGAAGCGTACTTGACCTCGTATGATTTGGAAAGAATTCACCCAACATGCTACATATCCACATACACACACACATACACATACACATACACACACACACACACACACACACACTCATACATGGCATATAGAAGATGACCATTTAAAAAAAGCGAATGTTCAGCTGAACCAGTTATCAAACTTCAAAGGAGTTTAAAGGTTAGCAAATATACAGAAAACCAAAAAAGAACCATAAAAAAACTGGATGTACGACAGAATAAAGACAAGACAAAAAACGTTAAAACAAAAAAGCAACGTAGTTGGGGATGATCCGATGAAGATGATAGACAGTGTTCTTGACATACTCTTTTTTAACAATCAGAAGAAATTTTACATTTTTTCTAAAATATGTGAAGTTTTCCCAGAAAATCAATTACCACAAAAGAAAAAAAGTGATGGGGACAGGGCAGAAAAGGGGAGATTAGCAATGAAAATGTCCAATCAAGCGTTAGTATTGCTTTTCTGTCTTTTCTCTTATAGCTTGAAATTTCCAAAACTGAAGACAAAAGAACAGAAAATTAGCTATATAATGGAAGTGTGTAGAAGTGTTTCGCCGTTCTTCAATGAGCAAACGAATGTAAAACACACATCCTAAATCCGCTGGATCTTTTCCGAGACAATCACCGGATTATTTTTACGAATTTCTTCTCTCTCCATTGTTTTGTAATCAAAGGAACAACCATGCGCCGTATCATAACGATGTTCACCACAGTATAAGCCACCACAACGGCAGACGAAACCTATAAATTGGCATCACTTTTTATCTGTTGTGATCGTAACAAATCGTTAGTGAGCGCTATAGAGCTAACACAAATTTGATGAGGATCGCCTCAATTTGAGGGGCCATGTTTTTGATGAGGACTTTCTCCTTGATTGTCTTACTGTCGTTATAAGCAAAAAAAATTTGCATTCCAATTTGTTAAAATGTCCGCCTCAGAGCAAAGTGCAAAGTTCTTCCTTCTTTATTTCCTTTTTTTGTTCTTGCTTCATTGAATGGGGCAATCATTAGAGAAGCTCAAAAGGAACAACTAAAAAAGTAAAGAAACAAGACTTATTAGAAACAAATTCTGAATAACCTGAAAATACTTACCAGTAAGGCCGACACGCTTCTTGCAAACATGACAACGATTGGCTTTTTTTGGAACCGGCTGACCTTCGTTAGTCAAAGTTATCGAATCGGGAGTGGCAGCCGCATCAAGGCTGGCCACAGAGCTAAAATGCATCATAGTGAATGATACTAAACAAGCACATCCTTATTTTATCAGTGGTGGAATAACAAATTCGCATGGAGACCCAAAATCACCATACTTTGCAATCTATTTTTAGAATTGTTTTATAGCATCGTTTGTTATCATACATCATTGAATATGGCCGATTTTAACGTTAATTTCCTAATCATTTTGCAGAGAACTTTAAGAAGACTATTTTTCCATGCAATGAGTCGTCATTACATTCTTGCTCCAAAAATTACACACAGCCACTTATGATGAGCATCTACGTCACAAGATAAAAAAATGTAAGATTCCCTAACTGAAAAATTGAATAATTCTGGATGGGGAAAGAACTACTAAGTTCTTTCAAGCTGTATCAAAGCTTTACCACTTTTTCTAATTATTAAAATCTTATTCGCGTCCGCTATTTTAACAACTTCGGCAACTTCCAACAACTTAAATATACCGAGGTCCAGTACCCTGTTACCAAATTCGCGAATCTTCTTTAATCGGACGAACTATGAAACCTGTCAATGCCTTCTGTAATCATTATTAACAATCTGTACCGCACTCTTTACGTCTTGCGTAACAAGTTTATTCACATCTCCAAGAACTTTCTCGTCACTGAAACGCTTTGCAACTTCAAACCTATTGGTTCTGGCAAACAATCTTTGTGACAATCGTCTAATTTCAACAAATTTATCATCCACACAAAAAAACCAAACCTAGATGTAGAAAGGACACCAGAGCAAGTACCCGACGATGATGCCGTGATACCACCCGCTGCTTCTACAGCCGCTGCTACTGATTCTAATTGAGCAGTCATATCTTCGGAGGATTTCGCAGCCTGTGAACAGGAAACCTAAAATAATCAATCAAAATCTCAATAACCAACAACAATTGATCTATTTAATTAACACAAATTTATTTTGAAACAACTACTTACTTGGTTGCTATATCTTTATTTACTTTGTAAATAGTCATGTAAATAACCTACGGAATACCTTCTCAACGGGTAAATTCGTAAAGCCACAGCAGAATGTAGAGAAGGACGAAATGCTAAACGTCAGTAAAATCATGAGAAGATGCCCCAGAATCACTATGAATTTATTTCTTATGGAGCCGATTCATTTTAGAGTTACCAGAGCTAATCAAGTAATGACCGTCCAATTCGATAGAACACAGAGAAAAGATTCGCTGTAGTTGCTATCTAATCGGTTGGCTCGTCTGCAAGATCTTCCCGGACGTCATTTGATATTGTTGTTTAACTAAATGTCCAAACGCGATTTTTTGGAATCGAAAATTCGAACAATTCAGATTCATTTAACAGGTTTTCATTTTAACAAAAAATAATGAAAAAAGAGACCGAGGTACTTACCTCCCTAAGCTTTTCGGCAATAATTACCGTCGACGAAGTGGCAGCGGTATTATCGGCGTTACACGTTGCATTGCTAGCAGTACTTGATGTAGCTGTGGTTGTATTAGCAGCCGAGCTAACTACAGCTGGTAATGGTGGACTTACGCGAGCGGTAGTATCCTGTTTACGTTTTACATAATCCTTGTAACATTTCGAACACAACCCTTCGGTTGAAGGTGAACCGAAGAAACCACAGCCCGCGCGGCACAATGTCGTCGTCTGTTGTTGATTTTCCATAATTCGTCGTTTTAGCTGTCAATATACTTCCTACCGATGTGACGGCCAACAATAGGCTTGTATGTTAAAAACTGGAAATAAAACATATTGGCTGCTTTCAGGGGAAAATAACAAAGTGAAGAGGTAAGGAACGAACAAGTGCACAATAATATGATTCTTATTCTTGCATTCCACAATTATGTAAAAAATAACCCTTAACATTTTTAAAAAGCATATGCAGAGGGCTTTTTCCAGTTCCGTCTAGCAATATTCAAGCAGTAATTCGATGATCGAACATGGGATATTAATCATACGCGTAAAATTTAAGAACTCAATCTCTTTGATTTCTCGAGAAAACCTAAATCATCCAAAAATTTTTTCCTCCGACTAAAAATAATTCCCACTCACTTATTCACATTCTTTTCCATTACAAACTTAAACATACACTTAAAAAAATGATGAAATGAAAAAACATCCTATTTCCATCTTACTTACATTCCATGGTACACTTTTCACGTTAACATTTGAAATTTATCTGATAAACATAAGGATAACTGCTTAATATATGAAAGCAAAAACAAACTGGTAGCATTTGATTAATTGTTATTAATTTGACAGATTTTTTCGACCATATTTGCAAACACAAAAAGAAATGTTATTAAACTATGCTATATCATCGAAACCAAATCTTTTGATATCAAATGATAAACCTATTGTAGTATAGATGACAGTGTAAAATACAAACTGATATGCATCATCGACATGTATGCTAACAAATATAGGGACGCTATGCAAAATAAACAAAAGTATTTTTCGACTTCCAATTTCTACTCATACTTGAAAGAAGCAGAAAGTAAATAACTCCCAATTATTGATTATTTGCAGTCTTGCTGTTTATTTCTTACTGGTAAAATGGTAATTTCGTCGGTCATTCGCGCAAACATATGATGAGTACAGACAAATCAAGCAGCACCACAAACACAAACACACGCACCCATATATATATATATATGTATGTATGTATGTATATATATACAGAAACAGGAGAGAGGAATCTAAAGAAAAAAATTATCATTGGCGATATATCACCGGATAACTAATTGATCCCTCCTCACCGCGAAATATTTAGAATAAAGTTAGGTGAGGGTGATACGAAAGAATTCTTTCAGTGTCTTCTCTCCCTAACTGCGTGCCAATCATGAAAGCTATTCCAAGATTCTGACGAGAAAAAGACTTCGGCAGCGTCTTGTCGAACTGTTTTTTCTGGCCGGTATTTCTCGGGAAGCACCATCTTTTCAACTCACCAACCAATGAAGATGTCCCATTCCCACATCACACACACACACACACACACACACACACA